TTAGTATACTCCAGTTTTCTAAATTTAAATCACTTACACGGGCTTAGATTTGTCATTGTACCTGTCACATTTTAGCAAATATATCGAATTGTTGATGGTTATTAAAGTTGATAGATTATGTTTGAACATTTTCATCATAAAAAGGTAAAATATTCTCATTGGCAAAGATTTTGATTTATTTAAGACTTTCAGATAAATCTTAAAACATTTGAACTAGTTGAGACCTTAGAGATCATTTACCTCTCTTTTTTGAAAAGATGTCAAAAGACTTGCACCAAAGCAGTTATTAATTTGAGTGGAGTTGAGACTCCTGACTTCAGGCCCATGCTCTTCAATCAGATTTATGCCTGGAAATTGAGAAATGATGGCAAGTACACAGAACTAGATGTGGGGGGAAACAAGAGTATGTTCTTGAGGATTAAATCTTCAGTTGTAGAAAATGTCCCCTTTTTTTTCTGGGTGATAGAGAGAAAGGGAGATGGTTCATTTTAGGACTCTTGAGTTTGGAAATTGATCTAGTTCTCGCTGCTAAATTGTCAACTGCTGAAATAATTTAGAGTTCTCAAATATCAGAAAATGAACTATCAGCAATATACTTAATTTCTCAGTATTCTTTATGAATAAAACAAAATTTCTCTGGCTTTACTTCCCCTGCCTCCAAAAAGAGTTGTAAAATTTACTTAATTTTAGTAATTAGGATTCTTCAGAGATAATGCAAATAGTTATGAGTTGAAGCATAAACGTTTACTGTGAACTATTTTATTTCCTACCCAAACTGACGTTTTCTCATTGTCAGCGGTATCTGCTCTGTAATGGACTTGACTATTTCACATCCAAGGAGAGTAAGTAAGAGCCAGATAGATCAAGATAGCTTCAGATGTCACAGCAGTGAGTCTGACTTTTTTCTCTCGTGCATTACATCACATTCATTCTAATATCTCTTCTATTACCTTGTGTAGGGATGTAGGAAAATATTGCTCGGTGGGAAAATACTATTTGTAAATTATAAGTGCCTTTGCCTATGAGATAATTCAAATGGTGCTTTTCTTTATTTAGACCTAAACTGATTGTAATGCACTTCGCCGCAAAGTTACATTAATTTTAGTGCACAGACATGCCTTGTTTTTCATACTTTGCTTTGCTGTGCTTCACAAATAGCGCATTTTTTTTTTTTAACAAATTGAAGGTTTGTGGCAACCTTGAGTCTAACAATTTTGTTGACACCATTTTTTTCCAAACAGCAGGTGCTCACTGATACCAAAACTAGATAAAGACTGTACAAAAAAAGAGAAAACCGTGGCTTAAAGGAGTAGGGCCGGCCTCATATGCTGGAGGTGGCGGGTTCAAACCCAGCCCTGGCCAGAGACTGCAAAAAAAAGAGAACTGCAGACTAATTTACATTGAACATCAGTATAAGTATCCTCAAAAAAAGCCAATTGAATTTGGCAACATATGAAAAGAATAACAAACCATGACCACGTAGGGCTTATCCATAGAATGTAGGGCTGGTGTGGTATATGAAAATAAATGAAGGTAATCCACCGCACTAACAGTCTAAAGAGAAGAATCACACAATCATATCAGTAGATACGGGGGAAAAAAACCCACACACATTTCACAGAGGCAATGTCTCTACTCATGAGGAAATTTCTTGGCAAATAGAAAGAGAAACTTTCTCATCCTGTTAAAGGCATCTGTAAAAATCTTGTAGCTACCATCAGACGTCACGGTGAGCGACCTGGATGCTCAGTCATTCCTCGAATGCTTGTAAGATTAGGAACAGGTGACATCGTGCTGGGATTCTTAGCCAGAGCAGTAAGGCAAGGAAATGAGAGACATGGGGATTGGGAAGGGAGACATCGAACTGTTCTCATTCACAGATGACATGATTGTCAATATGGGAAAAAACAAGGAATCTTCCAAAAAACAAACAACAAAAATCCTGTAAATCTTGAATTTAGCAAGATTGAAGGATACTAGGTCCACATGCAAAAAATCAATAACATTTCTATACACTAGCAATGTACAACTGAAAATCAATATAGAAAAGCCAATGCCATTGGGTGGCGCCTGTGGCTCAAAGGAGTAGGGCACCGGCCCCATATACCAGAGGTGGCGGGTTCAAACCTGGCCCTGGCCTAAAACTGCAAAAAAAAAAAAAAAAAAAAAAAAGCCATGCCGTTTCTAACCGCACAAGGAAAAATGAAATACTTAGGGGTAAACCTAATAGAACCAGTGTATGGGATCTGTATGCTGGAAATTACAGAACTGCTAAGTTGTGATTTATTTGGTATGTAAACTATTTTATTCATTTGCCATTAGGGTTTCTCAGCCTGTACTCAAATTATATTTTAGAAGAGGTTTCAAAGTAGCAAGTCATTTTTTATGCATTTATCTTTATGTTGTATACCTATGACATAGATGTACCAACAGACTTTTTAAAAAAACGTATGTATCTTCAATCTATCTATTTTAAAAACATTAAAGGAATTTCAGGTTTTAGGTTTTTTTTTTTACTAAGAAAGAATGGATTATATTGATAATGTAATTCATCTCTGTTGATGAGTGCTTAGAAACTGTTATAGACATGTCATACAATACTTCACCAGATCCTGCTGTGTGTGTCAGCTCAGTGAGTTTTTAATTTTGGTTTGGAAGATACAGAATGATGCACATTTTCTGTGAAGTATAATTGAATATTGTCTCATCACTTTTCCATTTCTTTCTGATTTTTGGTTTTTCTCATTTAAGCTTTGTGGTTCATTTATCTGTTCATTGTAACTAGACTGTGTGTGTTCATTATTTAATGAAAAAGCTCTTACAAAGTTATGCCTGGAATTCAGGTGAGTATATTTAGTGTTCTGCATCACCAGGGGACTAGGTTATTACAGCCTACCGTTTCTGAGGCCATAACCGACACGAGTTTTATACTTTTGTGTTTGCACGTAAAGATTTTAGAGTGGGATCCCCTGCAGATTGTGACCGGGCTAAACACTCAGGGGATGATAGTAAAAAGAAACTCTTCATTTCAGTTTTAAGAACGAATTGTCTTCATTACCAACCCTGTTAAAAATGACACACTGCACAAGCCACCGTGATCAATCAGATCATTCAGGGGTTGTCTGGGCACAGAGAAATAAAGCAGTGTAGAAAGGCTGGCTAGTCTACTCAGTGCCTTAATCCAGACCAAGAAATTTCAAATGTGCTGATTAAATTCCTAGTTGATACAAAATTAATTAGTATAGTTAATATTCTAGAAAACCAGAATCAAACTCAGATTTATTTGGCCATTGAAAATAATTGCCTTTAAAGCAGAGTAAAATTAAAGATGAATGTAGATATTATACTTTGAGACAAAAGAATTATAAAAATATATGAGAAAAGAAATTAACCAGGGGACAGTATCACTTCTTGCCTTCCTCATCCAGTGGCTGAGACTTGGAAATGCAGGAATAGCCTGGCCACTCACAGCTAATAGTGAGAGAATCGCCCCTTTCCTACCCTTTCCTGCTGTCTGCTCAGGGGCATTCAGTCCAGATCCATCCTTTGCCCTGGTTTATATCCTAGTGGCTTCATCTGTTTTGACCATATATTCTCAACGTTTATAACTACAATTTCCTGCCATGTAATTGATCTGATAGCGTCCACTTATATTCTTTTATGTTGCAAAGAAAACATCCCCTTACCATGCCAGTTCATCTCTCCCTTTTCTTTTTAATCTTGGCTCCAGTATCTGATTTCTAGTTATTGCTAATAACAATGATAAAAGAAAGATTTCCCAGAACCATAACTGACCACAAACTAAATAGCAAATGTATTGTTATTCTTGGGGGAAACCAGAAAAGCTCCAAAAAAGCCAATTCCATGTTCTGTCATTTGAGACTGAACATGGAATCTTATCTTTCTATGTTGTATTAAAATAATTATGTAATAATGAACTTGTCCTATGTGCCAGGAACTATTCTAAATGCTATGCACATTTAACTCATTTAATTTTCATTATGTAATAATGAACCTGCCCTATGTGCCAGGAACTATTCTAAATACTATGCGCATTTAACTCATTTAATTTTCCTAGCAATCCCAAGAGGTGGGGACTGTGGGTAACTCATTACCTAAACAGATGAAGTTCCCAAGAGGTTAAGTCAGTTGCCCAAGGTGACACTGCTGGTAGTGAAAGGCAGAGCCTGAAATCTGTCCTAGATAATCTGGCTCTAGACAGAGTCTGATACCTACCCAAAAGAGTCTGACACGAATAAACTGAGGAACACTTAGGTAACAATTAAAAACTCTTGACATGGCTACCAAATCTTGTTGGGAGGGTTAAAGGAATTTGGATTGTGCAAATCTAGGGAGTTTAGGGAGAAGAAAATATGAGGAGTGAGTTAATTGGGTTTTAAACATCTTAAAAAATATTTTTTGAAGAAATTAATGAGTATTCTGTGTTCATTGAAGATTCACCAAAAGAAATGCAGTAAAGTCCAGTCAGGGGGACTTATGTTGTCCAAGAGTAGTTAGGTCAGAGGTTATGAAGGCTGGAGCCCAAGAGACAAGTCTAGAAGGGACGACTCTGTGCAAGGTCGCAGTGATCCACGTGACTTGTGATTCTACTTTGCCCAGGTAATTGGAAGCAGATCTGCTCCTTCATAGTTCATCTACTGTTACTTAAATGCCAACAGAATTTTAGAACTAAGACAACTAATTCAACTCTCATACTTTACTGACAAGGAAACAGAATCAGAAATCAGACGTGTGTCATGATAGGACTGTGTAGTAAGAGACTGAACTGAGTTTTTGAACCCAGGTCTCCTGATACCATGTCCAGAGGCAGGCTGCCCTTTTTTTTTTTTTTTGTAATAAGGGAAGGAGGGTATTACAGGCACAGAAGAGAATATTCTTGGGAATTTCTACCTAACACAAGGAGATTGCTAGGGAGCTAAAAGGGAGAAGGCTGAGGAATGGGATGCACTGATTTATGATTTATTTTTTTCTTTGCGTAGTATGAGCCCAGAGGACCTGGTCGGCCCTTGTACCAAAGAAGAATTTCATCTAGCTCAGTCCAGCCTTGTTCTGAAGAAGTAAGCGCTCCTCAAGAGAGTCTGGCTCAGTGTAAAGAGCTTCAGGACCACAGTAGCCAGTCTTCTTTCAACTTCTCATCCCCGGAGTCCTGGGTAAACACCACCTCATCTGCTCCCTATCAGAACATTCCGTGCAATGGATCCAGCAGGACAGCTCAGCCCAGAGAGTTGATAGGTAAGATAGAGCTGGTGAGGCTCGGCGCCTGTGGCTCAATCGGCTAAGGCGCCAGCCACATACACCTAAGGTGGCGGGTTCGAATTCTCCAGCCCCGGCCTGCCAAACAACAAGGATGGCTGCAACCAAAAAATGGCCGGCGCTGTGGCGGACGCCTGTGGTCCCAGCTGCTTGGGAGGCTGAGGCAGGAGACTCGCTTGAGCCCAGGAGTTGGAGGTTGCTGTGAGCTGTGAGGCCATGGCACTCTACCCAGGGGGATAGCTTGAGGCTCCGTCTCAAAAAAAAAAAAAAAAAAAAGATAGAGCTGGTGGTGGCCAGACTCAGTAATTTTAACTCCTCAGCTCCTGGGTATTTATGAAATTTTTCTTCTACCATTGCCCCATTTGCAGTGTTATCTTTGAATAGTATTTAATGCTCATGGCTCACAAGTGTGTCTCAGGTACACTTACTAATTCAGGACTATATTGATCCCATGTTTATGGTCTGGAACGTTAGTAGATGTACATGTATCTATATTTGAAAACTGATCATTTTAACCTGTGAGTGAATGAAAGAAGAAATGGAACTTAAAATGATTTCCCAATAGATAGAAATACCTTCACTTGGGAAAAATTTCTGGTTTATTTTTGTTGTTGTTTCTTCAGGGAGTTGGTATCAGTTGGTTTCAATATCAGTTCTCAAGGGTTTGTTATCAATAAAATGTCGACAGCTTGCTATTTAATAGAGTATAGCTATGAGAGAAACCAGCAAAGTGTAACATTTTGGCATTTAGAAATCCTTTGTTTATTCCTTATATGCTACTAAACTGAGAACTCCATTGCTAAAAAACACAAAAGGCGTAAGTAGGATAGGAACAGACCAAGCCCTCTGAACTTGTACTGTACATTGGGAGGTCTACATCCTTGAACATGAATGCACTTTTATAGTTCCTTTATTCTCTTTTTCATAGTGAATGTGAAGAAATTAATTATACTATTTGAGTTCTCTGATTCCTTCTTTTGTAAGCTAGACATTGATCTTTGTGAACAAGTCTGAGATCTTTGTGTGGTAAATTTCTGCCTGGCAGCATCAACTTTGTATTTGAAATTAATTTTGTTCATCTTTAGAATGTGACTCTATTGTTTCTGTAACTGACCCATTTTTGAGTATGTGCCATACAAGCAAGCATATTTTTAGAACAATAGACGTGGTAGGGCAAAAAAATTTAAAGATTTTGCTTTTGTTTCTTGGTAAGAGACAGTTTCATTTTAACCTTTAAACATTCTTTAGTACCCATTGAGTGTAAGCTACTTTATTTTGCCTGGAGCTGCTTTGTAATTTTACGATCTGACATAAATACACTCAAGTTAGCATATTTGAGTTTCCTGAGAAAAAACTAAATTATGTATGAGTGGTGATAACTTGTTATTTTTTGGTTGTTTTGATAACATCATTTCTCCTCTTTTTTCTTTTAACCTAAGTTTTAGGGTAGCTATTGATCCAAATGAATAAAAATCTTAACCTGAGCTGATAAACTAGAAAGTTCTTGAACAAATGCCCAAAGCTCTTGTCATTTATGGCATCTTTTCTGCAAATACAAAATGATTGTTTTCTTCATTGCTTGGACAGATTGTAGTATTTTTTAAATTGAAAGTAACAGTTAACGGCTCGGTGCCCTTGGCTCAAGCGGCTAAGGCGCCAGCCACATACACCTAAGGTGG